CGCCACATGTTGTTTTCGGACGTTTTGTTTCGGAGCTTTGGGGCTGCTTTGAATTTCCCTCCTTCAGAGAAAGAGACAGAGCTGCGGCTTTAGCAAGGGGCTTCACTCGGTGAAGTTGGCTTCGTACCAATTCATTAGCAGCCCTGTGCTAATTGTGGCTAGTTAGCCAGGGCAAATACAGGCCCGGAATTGGATGGTTGTATCACTTTTATAAGAAAGTTGAGAAAAACAACATTGGAAGGATAATTCTTTTTTTGTTGCCCCGTGAGTTGGGAGATAACCGCCACACGGAGCTATTTTGACAAACGACTCCAGGAAACGGATTAATTTATGAGTATGGATCCACACACGGGCAACTCTGCTTCAGCGGCTGGTCCCAAGAAGGACAAGAAGTCCAAAAAGAACTACGAGGATGGAGATGGGAAAAAGAAATTTGTAAGTGTTACTTTCTGTCCATTCACTCCACTGTTTGTTTGCGGGATCCATGTATACCAAACGGGACAGATGGTTATATTTGCTTTCACTGTTTAAAGCGAAAAGAACAAACTGTCACTTTACCTGTAACTACTTTCCCACTTCAGAGTTTTGCACAAGCTGTTGACACTGTCTCTAAGATATATTTACAACTATTCACACAAAAAAGTGTGGGTACATGAGGAAGTGCCGGGCCCATCAACTTTGAAACCTGTATTCCAAAGCAAAACTCATAAATTGTAAAATCCTGACAAACTGCGGCAACTCAACACATGACTCAGAGGTTCGATTATCATAATCATTACAAACTTTGGCTCCTATGGTATTAACAATAAAGTAAAATGTTATGTTTACATTTAATTTTCTAGACACTTTTCTGTAAAAGGGTGCTCTGCTTAATCCACCTCTTAAAAATGAGATGAATAATCTCAAAAGAGCAGACTTGCTATGAAAAGGTGTTGGCAGTGACACCATGGATTTTCCAGAGGTGACTCTGGAATAAGGACACAAGGTCGCGTCAGCATGTTGTGATTCTGTGTAGTGTTGTGATGCAAGCAGAGCTGCAGGAGCAATAGTAGATGTAGATGTCTGTCATCAACCATTTCAAACTGTTGTGTAATGTAACCCAATGGCCATGTCTAGCAACAGGTGAAAACTGATATACAAGCAGACAAATGGTAACCATAGAGGATGCACAGGAGACACATTTGGTTACTCAGCAAACAGTTACACACACACACATACACACTCACTCAACCCTGTCTCACTTGCTTTCAGTAAGTCACTGACTTTTAGTGTTTACTTTTTTTATGTACCTAGTACCACCTGTACATTAGTCACTGGTTTTTAAACTTTCTGTAGTGCCACCCTTTTGTAGAGTTGGCATAGTCTGTGTTTGTCAATGACGTTTTTTTGATAAGAAAGCAGTCTCTTTGACACTTAAGAACTGTTAAAACTTTGCTTTCCACTAAAATTTGACTTTTTTGATTTTTCTTTTAATTTTTATTGCAGTTTTTGACTTGACTGGACATAGAAAGACCAGAAAAATGCTGTATAAATTTACAGTAGAATTCCTAAAGAGAAAATTGCAGTCAGTTGTTAAGTAAACACAAGTCATCTACTTCCACCAATGTGAAATGACCTTTGATAACAGCACATACTGTAAACAAGTGTGGTTTGAGTAAGAGTTGCTTTGACATTTGAGACTTAAATGGCAGACTTTTTATTACACATGGTCATGTTTCAGTCAAAGGTGTAGTGTTATGTTGTGGTGTCATAATGACTTCATCACAATCTAAGGTTTAAGTCCTAAGTGCTTTTTCCTCATTTTAGACATACCATCATAATCAGATGTGTGAAGTGAGATAAGATGAGAGTTTATTCATCTCAAACCAAGGAAATTCAGTCGTTACAGCAGCAAGATAGACATGTAGTAGTAAAAGTGCAGGGTATGCACAGTTGCACAGTATGCATTTTTGCAGACTTAGACTACTTTGGGATTCCATCCATCCATCCATCCATTTTCCTCCGCTTATCCGTTACCGGGTCGCGGGGGCAGCAGTCGCCACCCAAATCACACTGCACCGTACCAACCCCCCTTAAACCTTCCTGCAGGTGGTGAGTCCACTGGAAGGTATTAACCCTTACTACTACTACTACTTACTAACCGGGATTCGAACTTGCCCAGGAGGTGAACCCTGGGGTTCCACACCAATGACAGAGACATTGCCTCTGGGCCAAAGCGCCACCTACTTTGATTCCTCTAAGATATTGATCACCATGCACATTGTGTTTTATTAACTGTGCAAAGTTTTCCTGATATTTCTAAGAAACAAAGCGATAGATTAAAATATTGAATAATTTATGATGTAAGACTATTTCCTTCTTTGTGGAGGAGGTGCAACACACAGATGCTTTGCTCTCAGACATTGTTTGTATTACATTTTTGCATAAAGAAATGGGAAATGCACCTGGTCACAGACACTTCTGAGCCTGTGGTTTATCATAGCAGTATTAGAAACCAAGGTAATTTGCCCCTTACTGGATAATATGCATTTGATATAATTAGTTTTTTTGACCACAGCTTAAATGCCATATTTAATCTAAATAAAGAAACCAATAAACCAAGAACTATATCAGAAAAATATACTGTACATTTTGGCTCTGAATCATATGTATTCATTGGCACAACAATGGTCCCATGATTTGCCCCCTTTGTAAGACAATTAAACTTGCATTATGAGTGAGAGGAACAGCGATGCATAGATCATTGGTTGTGTGCCTTTTGTTTTTGTCTGAGACATGGCAGGTCAACCGTAAACAACCCTTTAATTACGGTAATGAAGTGGGACATACATTGTTAAGTTAATCAATTTCCCTCTTATGGTTGTGTTCGGGCATGGCCATACTTTAGGGTTGGCTAACCAAGTGAGATTCACCGACATTAGCAAAAAAGTCTAAAAAATATGTTAAGAAGATATTTTCTTTATATTTTAAATCCAACCTGTTGTCATGAACAGCATTTTTTCTGTGGCATTGGCATATTCCAGAAGGTCAGTGCTCAGAAGCTAGCACAGAGGCCAACAACAAGAAACAGCGCAGATGCTTTTATAAATTAGATGTTTGGAAAGTGCAAGATGTGCAGCAGAGTAAATGAGAAGGCCAAGGCAATAAATGATTAAGTCATGTTTTAAGTGTTTGATGACAAGCCTTTTTCTTTAGTTTAGAATTGACAACTCACTTGGCTTCCACCAAGACGTTGCTTCTTCTCACACGTGCTCCTTCCTGGTTTGTAGGCATGGTACATTTCTGTCAAGATCCAGTTGAATTTCTTTCTTTCTTAACAATCTAATTGTTATTCCATTGATTATTGATTTCTTCACACATTAAATATATATATATAATATATACTAATATATATATAATATATACTAATATTACTAATACTAATATTAAAAGTCGATGTGCTGTTTGTTTGGTAATACCCAACAATAAACCTTGACAGGAAAAATGTTTTGACTAGTATTCAAAAATAACCAAAAGGTATTTAAAGAAGTACCTATCAAAGTGAGTGTTGCAGAACAATGGTGGAAGTAGTTACCTTGTTAATGTTGAACTGTGCAGGTATGAGTGATGGCAGCCCTTCTGTTAAGCATAAAATGTTGTTTTCGCGTATGCATTTGTGCAATGAAGCAGCTACATCCTGGGGGAACCACCTCAGCAAACGCTCAATTTAAGTTAACACCTTCAAAGTAAAGAAATCAAGGTCTGTCTCCCAGTGTCTTACTCAGTTAGTTTCAGTGAAGCAAATGAAATGCAGTGAGTCTCATATGATCAGCCATCTTAATTTACAAGGTTCTGTCTTCTCCAACACAGTAACAGGCACATGGCATCCTGTGTTTATTTTTAATTGATGAAGATTATATTGTCAAGTAAGATTACTCAATATGCACATGAACTTGTACTGGGCCTAATGGTTCAAAACAAAGTTAAGTAACCATACAAAAGTTAACCATAGTAATATACTTACTATAGGAAGACAATAAATATAATAATGAAAGTTGGAGGATGCAGATAGGGCAGTCACAATATGCTATATATGTAGAGGTGCCATCAGTAATAGGTACAGGACACAGGCCAAAAAAATATATATATCTGGAACTATAATTCCAGGTTTCACATTTACTTAAGAAACCAAAAGCTAGCGTTTGATTCCAGAAAAACTTCAGAAAAACGTATGTTGAAAAAAATTCTCAAAGTAAGCAGACACAACGTAAACTATAATAAAAGATAGATGGATGGATGGATGTTCAAGTATCAGATATACAGATGAACAATATGTACATACAGTACAGTATGTACAGGCAGTGTTGAAGTACTGCAAAATAAATAATAGAGTTTAGCTGTGGTTGTGAGGTGTGATGGCATGTGGACATGTTTGAATGGAGTATTAATTTTAAAATGTTGTTATAGATATCTGCATTATTTTGCCAAAATGAGAAGTAAATGTAGCCTCTCTTCAGCCCTTAACTGTGTGGAACGTGACCCCTCAAAGGTGTGAAGAAGTCAATCAATGTCTGCCTACCAATGTCCTCTTAATAAGGGGGTGAGCATTGAATGAGGTGGTAAGCATTAAATGAGTGTAATTAGGAAGATGTACTGTACACAGGAGTTACTGTGCTGCCTCATATACACAAGCGATTAGTTTATTTGTAAAAGCAAAGCCAGTCAAAAAATTTGTCTCGTCAAGGTTTATTCTTGGGTATTACCTAAATATATGTAATATATATTAACTATATTGAAGAGCATTGAGGATTGTATTCTTAAATGTATGTAAAACATTGTAACAACCTCCTATTTAGCCACCGATGAGCTCCTGCTCATTTAAGGCCTTGTGCTTGCCAGAGCACATACAGTATGTGCACTTGAAGCTCAAATGCTCTCTCGTGACGGTGGTTTTTCTATTGACCAAAATTGTCCGCAAGAGTGGCTGCGTTTGCAGGGTTTTTATGAACACAATTTTTGTGACCATTATCCACCATGTCAAGATGTGGTCCCTATAATGTGTTGGCATTTGTAAATGCTTCAATCATATGACTGATACAGTGGGCTTGCAAAAGAAAATAAGAAAGTTTCTTATGGTTATCACAATGAGAGAACCTTTACCTCCTTGTCACAATTGTCTCTTTTAAATGGAAGGTTATTGAAGGAAAGTTATATAAAAAGTTAAAATATAAAGTCTTGTTAATTTTGTATTCAAACTCAAACTAAATGCTCGTGCTTTAGTTACTTTTTTAGTTGTTCATGTATGCATTTGTATCAAAAACAGATACAATTGTTTTTTTACTTACTCAAATTCTGTGGTTTGTAACAGGAAGTTGTGCAAAAATAGCTTACAGGATGCTTCCTTATTCTCCTCCATTATTGCTTAACCTTATCTTACTCATTCACTCCTTTCCATC